ACACACACACACACACACACACACACACACACACACACACACGAGGCAGGCTTACAAACAGGCACACACATGCAGAGAAAAGTAGGGCAGAGTCCTGCCTCTCACCTGCTGACCTTAGAATGTGATTTCTTTGTCCCACTTGATGGCTGACATTCAAAATGAAATCAATATAAACAGGCCCCTTAAGAGTCTAGGAGGCATCGAGTTTTAGCAGGAAAACTCATCCTGGACAACAGTACAGACAGTAAGTTCCCGGTCTGACTGGCTGGGGATAGCTTTAGTACAGGGTGAGAAAAATCTCAGCAGCCTGATCTTCCCGAAACTGGTAAATTTCTCAATCTACTGTCTGTGATCCGAAGGACTGACAGCCCGGCTCAAATCTGATCAAGGCTTCCAGGCAGGCAGCTGCCCAAACCAACCTCCTCAACCTCAGCCAATCCAGCCTTTCTACTCTCTCCGGTGGCCCCGGATTTGCATATCCTCCCAGACAGCTCCAGGTGAGAGCCACATCAGACCCCACCCACCTCCTTCTGCTAGGTGTTCGGGCAGCCTTCTCAGGGCTCCATCTGCCAATCCAGGACCTTATATCCAGTCCTGAAAAGCTGCAGCTTCCTCAAGGATCCTCAGAATCCCCTCCACACTTCCTTGATGTCCCACCTGCTGTTCTGTGTCATGGAAATCCCCTTCTCTTCACCGCACACGCTCTCAGATGGTCCAGAATCTTCTTCCCTTGGCTTCTGTTCCCCTGATCAACACTCCAATGGACCACATGAGTTTTTCACAACTGAAACAAGAGCCTCTTCCCCTTAACCTGCCTTCTGGAATTCTCTCTCCACGTCACTATGAACGGCACCAAAGTCCACATTTCCCCCACGTACTTTTGGTTTTGCCCTTGGCTTCTGCTTTTGCTGGAATCATTACCTCAGAGTCCCGCGCCTCTGGTAAGGCCTTTCCTGGTAACAATAAAGCTGCCCTGGGTTTCTAGACTCAAATACCCAAACCTTCATCATTCTCGATCTATTGCAGACCCATCTCAGTTACTCCAGTACTGCAGATTGAAATATTGTATCCGGAAACTTCTCTTGCTCCAAGATGGAAAGATTCTTGCCAGGTATGAACAGGGAAAGCAGAAAATTGAGCTACTGGAGGAACCCGGGGAAGGAAGGGCACTGTGAGCTCAGGGCAGCTGGCTGCAGTCACCTTCCCACCAGATGCGCAGCAGGCGATCGGTGGTGTTGTGTGAACACAGATAGCACACGCTCACTGCATGGCCCAGTTCCTAGTGGGTAAGGTGCCACAGCACAGACCCGGGCTCTGGCAGCTCCTATCAGAAAGGCTGAGGAAAACAAGCTTTCCTGGCAGATACAGATCTCTAGTTAATTGGACAATAGGTCAGCAAAAATCTGTTGACTAAGGGTGTGCCTATGGCCACCAAGAGGGACCTAGCAAATTCAAGTTTCCCTCCTTCCTTGGGAAATAAAAGTCCTCATTTTTTCATGATTCACATGCAAGGCGAAGTGAAAATGGAAGGCAGCTTCAGCCTGATGAGGACTGGGGGCAGGTGAAACGGCCCAGCAGATATGCCTGCCACCAAGCCTGAGCACCTGAGTTCCATCTCTCCCCACCTCCCGGGACCCACAAGGTGGAAGGAAAGAGCCATCTGTCTCCCGTACCCCTCCACACACGTATACAAATAATAGATAAATAAATGCAATGGGTTCTGCGGAGCAGTAACATGTTTAATGTCTGTTTAACAAAGGAATTAAAAGATTTTCCCTCTGTATAGTTTTGTGCTGGGTCGGGTAGTGTGGTGTGCACATCTCAGAGGGCAGAGGACAAGCTCAGGCGTCAGCCCTCGGGTGCCTTCTACCTTTTCCTGGAGACAGTCTTGCGGTGTCTAGGGACCTTGCAGTGTAGGTCAGGCGCTGAGCCACAAGCTGCCAGGCCTCCATCCTGCCTCCCACTTCGCCATTGCTGGACCCAAGGCACCGCAACCAGTTTTCTACGTGGGTTCTGGGGGTCTGAACTCACGTCCTCATGAATTCAAGGCAAGAACCTTACTAAGTGAGCCAGCTCAAGGCTTTCAAACATCTTAAGTCAATCCTAATATTCAGTGAGGCATCTTGGGAAGACCACACCCACCCAGGCTCACCCAGCGTTTTTACTGATTTATCGAGTGGCTAAACAGTTCATGGCAAGAAGGGGAAAGATTAGCCTGACCAAATCAATCTTTTTTTTTTTTTTTTTATGTATAGTGTATATATGTATGCCTGTAGGCCAGAAGAGGGCACCAGACCTCATTATGGATGGTTGTGAGCCACCATGTGGTTGCTGGGGATTGAATGCAGGACCTTTAGAAGAGCAGCCAGTGCCATCTCTCCAGCCCCCAAATCAATCTTAAATGTGCAGATTTGCTCAAGAACGTCAGGGTTACAAACTCTGATTTGCTCCTTTACAGATTCGCTTTAATCTGGGAAGGGTCAAATCCAGCAGCTCAGAAGCCTGGACACTGGATGAAACCCGCAATAGTGAACAGTCTGCAGCAGGGTCCAAGGCTATTCTCTGTGTCCAGGGAAGCCTCCACCGCACACAAGGTTGATCAGCAAATATTATTAAATATTTATCTGACTTCCTTAAAACTAGTGGCATTGCACTACAAAAATTATACAGAATAAATGATATGCAAGGCATGGTAATTCACACCGTACAGCTTAGCACTAGGGAGGCTGAGAAGGAGGATTGCTTTGAATTCAAGGACAACTTGGGCTGAATGTGAGACCTTTTTCCAACCCCGCCCCCCAAAACACCATACAAACAAATAAACAACAACAACAACAACAAATGCTCCCAGTTTGGGCAGGAGGAAGAGAAAATCTGTGTGTCTATGGATGTCCATGCATCCCATCTATTGATAATTAATGAAATACTATATGGTACAATGCATTTACTTCATGTATTATAAATTCAACTGCATATGAGATCCTGTGATCACTTCTATTATCATCTCCTCTTATGAAAAGCCTGGCACAAGTTAGGATCTTAGTAAACTGCGATCGCTTTATTCACTGAAAACAAGGGGCCTTCTAGTGACGTGTGTGGTCACCCTCCATCTTCCTGGTGGACGGATCCTGCAATGGGTCATTCATCACAGCTCCACCAAAGACCTGTCTCCTTTCCTCTTGTACTGAGGTCATTTGGCCTTTTGTCTAGGTTCAGAGGCAAGGGTTCCCAAACTCATACACTCACGTGGGCAAGGTAGACTCTAAAATAAACCTAGACAGTGTAGACATGGAGCAAGGTGAGACCCGGGCTGGTTTCAGGAGCGAGCGTACTTCCCAGACAGGAGAGATGGCTCAGTCAGTATAAAGCAGTTGTGGTTCAAGCAGGAGGACCCAGACTTGACTCCACAGAACCCGTGTAAAATGCCACGTCAGTACTGGGGAGATGGAGAAAGGGGGGCCCCTGGGGCTTACTGGCCAGCCAGTCCAGCCTAGTCAGAGAGTTCCAGGCCTGAGGCTGACCTCTGACCTCCACACTCACATGAACACACACACACACATACACACACACACACACACACACACACACACACACACACACACACGGGGTGGGGGGTGGGGGGGGAGCTGACTTTAACCCAGAAGGAGCAGAGCAACAGGAGAAGATGTGCCTGCACCTGGAGGAAGTCATTTTTCCCAGCCTAATGCCGGCAGGAATGCTGAAAAACAACCCAATAAGGAGAGCATGCTAGAAGCCCAGAATCCTCACGTCTTTGTGAAAGCCGTGGCTGCCCCTGGCCGTATGGAGAACATCAGACTGCTTATTAAAATACTGTGATTGTCCCAGCACTTCCAGAAATAGTGGTACCCCTTACAAAAAAGAAAATAAGGGCTCTGCCTGGTGCATAACCGGAGGACAGTGAGAGGGGAAAAGCCAGGCTGTGAGTTTAAGCTTCTCACAGGGCAAAGATGATCTGGCTTAGGTGCAAAAAAAAATATAAGAAATGGGGCTGGAGAGACTGCCCAGCAGTTAAGAGTATGTACCGCTTGTAGAGGATCTGGGTTTGGTCCCAGCACCTATATATTCAACAGATCACAACTGCCTAAAGCTCCAGCTCAGGAGATCTGATGCCCTCTTCTGGACTCCTTGGGCACCTGCGCCCACACAGGTACATACCTACAAGCATGAACACACACACACACACACATTCACATAACTTTTTAAAAAATATGAAATGTTTAAAGAGAGAGAAGGTACGAGAAATGATTCAGTGTGGGCAGGGGCACAGACCTATCCCAGGCCTGTGCCTGTGGGTTCGTGTGCCCATCCAAGTGCACAGATCGCTAGCCTCCTTTTCTGGATTGTCCCCATTCAGCGGATGAAGCCCAGACACCAGCCCGGAGACTTGGTGTTTTAACAGAGAACAGTCACCAAGGCCATGAAGCTCTTGTTATGGCTTGGATAACACTTTATTTTCAAATCAAATCTCTTTGTCTATTTGGGGGAGGGGGACGGAAGAATATTGTATTTTCATTCAAAACTCTTCCTGAATCCAGGAGGCCGCCCTGGTCGGGTGGGGCCGAGCTATTTTTAAGTTGCTATTACCAGAGAAAATAAGAGGATGAGGGAAGCAGTTCAGGAAGTGAATGGCTTTCCACTCTTTTTTTTTAATGCCATCTGGTAACTGCAGAACTGCTCACCTCAGTTTCTGGGATGGCTGAGTCAGGAGGAAACACCTGATTAGAGGAATCCACCGCTTTAGCTCTCGGCCATTCGGAGGGAAGCCCCCCTCCCCTGCCCCGCCCCCGTGGTTCAGGAACCATGACAAATCTGTCTGATTGCTTACTCAAAAGAGACCAACACGAGGGTGTAGATGGAGATTTCCCATCATAGATTTATGCAAACATGGTCATTGGATCTTTGACAAAGAATAAACAAAACCCGTGGAAGAAAAGACATGCAACAGGTGGCATGAGCAATGGATGGTCCACTGAGGAAGAGGAAGTCAGTCTTTTAAAGACCGATTGGACACGGCTCATAGACCTCCATGAAAAGCATAAAACCTAAAGCTTGTAGAAGGAACGGCGGGGTAAGCCCCTGTAACTTTAGGTTAAACAAAGAATTCTTGGAAGTGACAGTCCAACAGCCCCGGCATCATTCATTGTAAAAGGGACACGGTATCCCACAAGTGTGCCTACACAGGGACAAAGTCTCAGGAGAAACCAACGGTGACAGCACCTTGACCTTGGCCTTCTACCCTCCGGAAGTGTGAGAACTGCATCTGCTGTTTAGTCAGCCCAGTCTATGGGGTTCTGGGCCAGCCCAAGAAGAGGGCACTCCACACCTGTGGGAGAACTCACTTGTGTTTGCCAGAGCTAGGCAAGAGCGTCTTAGCGGCTCCACCCTTTGCCTCATCCTTCATCCCTGCCACAACCATCAGTTCACAACCACCTGGTTCACAGACTTCAGCCCTTCAGTCAGCATCTTTGGAGACTTTGTGTCTTCCTTTGTTCCCTTGACCTTAGGGTGGCCTCACCCTGTGATAGGTAAGCACTCTATCTCTGAGCTGTATCCCCAGCCCATCTCGGGTTTCTTACTTTTTTGAAAAATGTTTCTGCTACTTTCCTCATCCCCACAAGCATCTGAGGACAGCGTTATGTTCCCTCTTTGGCCACAGGAAAGTGGCTGTTGCCTCCCCCGCCCCTCAGGACCCCTTTCCCTCCATCTCTCTTCAGAAGACTTAGAAGTACTCTGTAAATAAAACTGTGCTCTCTGAGTTCCCCATGGAGACATCAGCTATGGTCTAGGAAGGGGCGATTGCATCCCCTGGGACTTGCATATCGAAGCTCATGTTTTAGCAGCATGGTCTCCTAAGTGCTGGTACTAAGAGGAAGTGTGGGGCCCTGAAGAGGTGGACACTCCTGGGAGGTCCTTCAGTCTTGGGGACCACTGCCCTTGGATGGATTTACGACATTCTCGTGGCATCTTGGGTTGGATTTCCTGAGTGGGTCTTGACAAAAGAGCAAGCCTGACTCCTCTCCATCTTCTGGCGTTGTGTCCCCCCTTGTGACTGTCATGATGCCATCTGCCTTAGAGTCCTCAATCAAAGCATGAGGCCCAAATAAGGGAATGTTACGGTATGGAACCTCTAGAACCGGAATTTAACAAACCACTTCCTTTAAAATTTATCCAGCTTCAAGTATTTTTGTCACAGAGGTTTCAAATGGACCATTCAAATAGCCCAACACTTTCCCTTGGGACTCCAGGAAACTAAGAAAGCCCATAAAGACTACCCTGGAATAGACTGTGTTCTGCCTGGTGGAGATAACAATCTCACAAAGTGGTAGAGGCCTCACCAGACCGCTACCCCCTACACCACTCAGAGACCACAGTGTTTATTGTTGACACACGGTTGAGAAAATCAAGCGCCAAGGAGAGCATGGCTATTCCCACACAGGTTTATCAGGGCATATACTCTACAACTGATGCTAAGAAAAGAAAACTTGCCCAAAGGCCAAGTACCCCTTCAGTAAAAGCGGTCAAGGTCAGCCCATCCACACCAAGGACATTGGCAGGAAGAGCAGAGGGGAAATGTGTGATGATACCCAATACCAGTCAGCCTTCATTATTAAACTGCTTCTAAACAATAACCAGGACAAGTGCCTAATGACAGGTGCCAAATAGGATAGCTGTTTTCCAAGTGGCTTTAATTCCTAAATG